AATTACCTTGGGACTGAGTTTCTTTCTCCAGGATGGCAAATACATGGCCTGTGTGCCAACATTTCCACATCCCATAGCCTTGGGAGACACTGGTGTGTAATAATGATTCTCTTCCCCTAGAACCTGGCTCCAGACTCAGTATCCTTCTTAATATAACTTATTTATTATTATGTTAGTGGACACATTTATTATGTCAGCTAATTTATTCAATAAGTATGTATTGAGTACTTACAAGGTACTACCCTCTATTTCGTAGTCTGGAAATAAAACTTTGAGCACCTTGTCCCTGCACTTAAGGAACTTGTCACTCAGTGGGGAAGAAAGACAATAGGCAAATACACAGATAAGAAAATATCAGGTAGTGATAAGTACAATGATGAAATTAAATAGTGGTGTGTTGGTGCCCGGGGAGATGTCTACTTTAGACTGGTGTCCAGAGAGAGACTCTCTGAGGCCCCCAGAGATTTTGATCTGGTAGATTTGGTGTGGGCCAAAGCAAATGCAGGAAATTTGGGAAACATTGACATGGTGAGTGAGAGTCAGAGTATGGAGTCCGAAAACCTACGTTCAAATCCCATTTCTTGCACTTATGTAGTTGTGTGACCCTGAGCTAGTTACTGAACTTCTCTGACCTTCAGTTTCCTTATCTATAAAATGGGATAATAGTACGATTGATCTCACAGGGTTGTTCTTAGTATTAAATAAGATAAAACAGGGACACCTGGGTGGCTCAGTCCATTAAGGGTCTGCCTTCAGCTCACGTTATGATCTCAGGGTCCTGGGATTGAGTCCCGCATTGGGCTCCCTGCTCAGCAGGGAGCCTGCCTCTCCCTCTACCTGCTCTGCCTTCAGCTCTCCCTGCTTGTACTCTCTCTCTCTGAAAAATAAATTTTTAAAAATCTTAAAAAAAAAAATAAAGAAGATAAAACATATAAAAGGCCTGGCACATAATATATGCTCAATAAAAGGTAGCTATCTTTTGCAGCAGTAGGCCCATCTATCCCTAACTGTAATCTTTTGTCTGAATTAGTCAAAAGACAAATCCCACAAAAGCCACTTACTATGTAATTAATATGGCCTCTGAGTAGATTTTTGCCTAATGAAACACTTCCTCTTGAAAAATGAATGCTCAAAAGATCTTCGTGTGAGCAAGAATGCCAGGGTTCCATGAATAAGTGTCCTAGGGCTCTCTAGTTTCAGCAGGATTAAGATTTGGAAGGGCTTTGGCCTCATTTCCTCCCCTATCAGATGGGAGCCTGGCTACTTGCCCTTTCTAATTTGGGCATGGGAGGGAGGACTTCTGTGACCCAAAGTGATGTGAGATTTGCAAAGTGTGAGACAGGGGCAGAACCCTCGCCATGTCAGACAGGCCGGAACACCCAACTTGAAAGGCCATAGTTCCTGATGCACCAGCCTTCCTACCCCCACCCGGCTCGTTGGGAGAAGCTGGCCACTCCTTCCCATTTATAAGCTGAGCTGGGTACATAACAGAGAAAAACAAAGTTGGGCAGGAAGCAGCCTTTTCAACCAGTGAAGAAACCGTTAGAATCCATCCCTTTGCCCTAATGCCAAAGCTCCGCCTGCCCCACCCAGCCACACTATCAAGGACACACAGCTATCAGAGGGCCCTGGGGGCATTTGTCCCTACTTTATCAAGGACCCGTGGAAACATTTCTCTAACTGACGATAAAGACCTCTCCCCCCTCCTTTCTCCCTCCCTCCCTTCATTCTGCTTCTAGCTACCTACCAGAGGGCTCCTGTCATTTTCTTTCAGTTCTGAGAAGGAGATATTCTGCAACCAGGACTTGAAGTAACTGGTGGAGAGGCAGGTAAGATGAGTTTCATTCATTCACTTGTTCATGCATTCATTCTTTCAGTACATATTTATTGGGTACTTACTATGTGCTAGATACTAAGCGAGGCTCTTGGATTCAATTCTGAGCAGAAGGTGCTTGCGTCTTTGGCGGAGCCGGACAGTACTTTAACAACCCCTAAATGTGGAATTATAAATTATGGTCCAGACTGGGAGTGAAATTAGACTATGCGGGGAGGGGGCCCTAATCTAGTCATGGAGGGTGGAGGTAGGGGGGTTCCTTGAAGAAGTAACATTTGAGCTGAGAGAGAGGGTGTATAATAATTTTCTAGATTTTGCTCTTGCCCTCTGAGTGGGTGTTTTCAGGTTTAAAAAGATGCCTCAGAGCCCGAAAGGCTTGCTGCCATCCCATGCCAGTCCTGTTTCCGATACCAAGTCACGATTACTCGGCCCTTGTGAAGGTTAGGATGAAAATGACTTATTGGACTAATAGAGAAGCCAGCATAAACCTGCCAGGACCTCCTTCAAGATTCAGTTCACTTTGCAAAAGTTGCCAGATAAAAGATATTTCCAGATGGAAGGCCACGCAGGAAATACAAATGGAATATTTTTTAATAGCTCTTCCTTTGGAAGATATGACCCAAGGCGGCCTTCTGCAATATGATGGGAAGCACTGTAGCCTGAAAGCTTGAGAGGAGCTGAGCTGGCCCCCAAGCAGCCCCCGGGGCCTTTGGAAAGGGCCTGAGGAGCATTAAGCGATGCTCTACTTATGCGAGACCCCCCACCGCTCCTGCCACCGCCCCCCAAAGTGGGGCCTGTGCTTTTTGTAGTCTAACTGACGGGTTCTCAGAGGAGAGGGCAGATAGATATCTGTACGAGCACTGAGTTCCTTTAAGGATGTGGCTTTACCAAATAACAGACTGCATCCTTTTCCCTCTTTCCTTGGAGCCAAGTAGGCTGCGGCAAAGAAAGTCACCGGGACAAACAATGAATCGTGGAACCCTACATCAAAAACTAATGATGTAATGTATGGGGATTAACATAACATAATAAAATAAAACAAATAAATAAATAAATAAGAAAGTCGCTGGGAATGCAGGGAACACCACTAACAGAGACCCAAGTGGGCAGGGATTGCCACCGGGGCACCTGCAGATTGTCTCAGGACGTGTGGGACTGGCTTCATCATCATGTTGGGATTAGATGGGTCCACAGATGAAGCCAAGAAGGTTGTGAGCTTCCTGAAATAATAGGTAAAATCCTGCGTGTTAGCCCAAATGGGCGCCTAAGATGGCCTTGGACTTTGACCAGTGTTTTTGGTGGCAAAATAGACATACATTAAAATTTAACATCTTAACCATTCTCAAGCGCACAATTTGGTGGCAGGAAGCACGTTCCCATTGTTGTGCAACCATCTCCAGCATTCATCTCCAGAGCTTTTTTTTTTTTATCTTCCCAAACTGAAGCACTGTATCTATTGAAAATTAGTTCTTCCTTCCCCCCCAGCCCCTGGCAACCACCCTTCTAACTTCTGTCTCTATGAATCTGACAACTCTAGGTGCCTCATGTGAGTGGGATCATATTGTCTTTGTCCTTTTGTGACTGGTTTCTTTTACTTAGCAGAACATCTTCAAGGTTCATGGATGTTGTAGCCTGTGTGTGGATTTTCTTTTTTTGAGGTGGACTAATATTTCCTTGGATGCACATGCGGCTTTTTTAAAACCCATTCACCTGTGGATGGACACTTGGGTTTCTTCCATCCTTTGGCTCTTGGGAATAATGCCGCTATGAACGCAGACATACAAATATCTGTGTGAGTTCCTGATTTCAATTTGGGGGGTGGTTAATATACCCAAAAGTGGAATTGCTGAATCATTTGATGATTCTGTTTTTAATTTTTGAGGAGCCTACATATTGTGTTCCACAGGAGCTGCACCATTCCCCTTCCTACCAGCAGTGCACAGGGGGTTCCAATTTCTCCACATCTTTACCGACACTTGTTCTTTTCTGGTTTGGGGTAAGAGTCATCCTCATGGGTGTGAGTGGTATCTCATTGTGGTTTTGATCTGTATTTCTCTAATGGTTAGTGAGGTTGAACATCTTTCCACGTGCTTATTGGCCATTTGTGTGTCTTCTTTGGAGAAATGGCTATTCAAGTCCTTTGCTTATTTTTTACTTGGTTATTTGCATTTTTATTGTTGAATTATAGGACATCTTTTTATATTCTGAATATTAACCTCTTTTCAGCTATATGGTTTGGAAATATTTTCTCCCATTCCATGGGTTGCCTTTTCACTCTGTTGATAGTGTCCTTTGAGGTATGCAGGTTTTTAGCTTTGACATAGACCAATTTATCTATTTTTAATTTAAGAATTAAATTAGATATAAATAAAATATGACACCTGTCCTTTTGGTGTCATATTTAAAAACTCATTGCCAAATCCAATGTTACATAGATTCTCCCCTACGTAGGTTGTCTTCTAAGAGCTTTATAGCTTTAGTTACTGGGTTTTTAAGAGGTCTGTGACTGACAACACATGGGCCATCCTCAGTATTGATTCTGGGGAGACCTTCATTTCCAATGTAAACACCCTCATGCCTTCCTGAATGTCAACGTGAATCTAGGAATTGGGAAATTGATAACATGGATGTGATATCTGAAGCCTTTAATTCAAAAGGAATGATTGAGTATCTCCAAATTTCTATCCGCACCCTCGAAGCTGGTGAAAATGAAAATATGGTGTCTCTACTCCTGAGGTGGCCAGACGCTGCACGCACGTGAAACCATGCACTGTGAGGCAGAGTCTGATGAGCGCCTTTACCCGGCCCCAGAGCCAAGAGCCATGAGAACTCAGGACAGGAGCGGCCACCATGAGCTATAGGGGACAGAGAGAACTCCAGGGTAAAGATGTGGCTTGAGCTGGGTCCGAGGTGATGGACCCAACTGGAAGAGGCAGAGAGGACCAGGGGTGCAGTAATGATTGCCATTCACTGAACACTTCCTGTGTGCCAGGCACGGTGCTCTGCCTGTTGAACACAACATCTCTGTTACTCCTTCGAACCCTAGATTTATCATGGTCTCTATTTTATCCTTGCAAGCGCTGAAGCTCAGAGATTTGCCTCAGATTAATTACCCACATAGCAAGGTAGGAAGCAGAGGCTGGAAACGAGGTTTATGTCTCTCCAAAGCCTTTATTCTTAACCACTCTAATATTTGAGCACCGAAGTGTGGAAACACAGACAAAGCAGACATCCCAGAGAGAGAGAAGGGGATAAGACAGTGCATAAAAATGGGCACAGGCAGGGTGTTTGAGATCAAGGAGGAGCAGCGTGGCTGGGTAGGAAAGGTCAGGCACTGGGGTTGTGGGATGTAAAGTTGAACCGATGGAGTGGGCCTTAACAGAAGCATGGAGAATTTGGTCTTGACCTGCTAGAGGAACTGAATTGCAGCTCAACCTTCCAGTCCACCTCATCCCTCCATAACAACGAGAGCATTGGGGTCCCAAAAGGTTAGGCCACTTGCCAATGGTCACAGGCAATAGGGAGCCATTGCAAATTCTTCAGCAATGGTGGTAGCAATGAAGAAAGCGGGATTCCAGATGGGTTCGTTTGGCAGTGAGTGGAAGTTCAGAATCGCCTTCCCCTGCCAGGTTCAGTGCCCTCAGCTAGCGGCGAGTGCCGGAAAACATGGCTTTCCCAGAAGCAGCCTCACCTTGCCTTCCAATGGAAAGCCTGTCTAGATGCAAGGCCTCAGACCAGAAACCCGCAACTCTGAAAAGCTAGTGGCCAGGACAGCCTCTTGATGCCATCTCTTTATGCTGTTTTCCTGAGCATGCGGCTGAGCCAGGTGTCTGTAAGCCCCACCCATCTGTCCCATGGGGGTCACCAGAGCAGGTAAGATAAGGCAAGTGTTCCCCGGGCAAGGAGGCTGACCCCACCCTGCTTGAGCTGAGCTCATATTCCACCTATGTTATCCACCTATGTTCAGCCAAGAAAGCCCTGCCCTCGTTGACTATCCTCCTCTGAGGTTCTCTTTGCTTAATTAATTCTAATAATAGCTGCCATCCATTGAGCACTATGCTAAGCATTTGACATGCATGATCTCATTTTATCCCTACAACCCCGTGATGAAGATATAATTATCCCCATTTTATATGTGACGGAACTGAGGCTCAGAGCTGTCAAATAATTTGCCTAAAACCACATAGCTAAAAAAGCCAGGACTAAAACATAAGCCTGTCTATCTCCAAAGTCTGTGTCTTTGCTCCTGTAATTGACTGCTTCCTACACGTTGGTTCACTGTAGCCATGTCCCCTTGTGGACAGGGGGGCCCTGCAGTAGAGAATCCAGCTTCAAAGAGTGGCCTTGCTTGCTGACACTCCCCATATCTGAGTGTTCCTAGAAGCCCGGAGCCTGATCTCTTTCCCAAATGACATCCATCTTTTCCAAATGGCATCCGAGACCTTATCTTCTCCTAAAAGTGAAGCTCCAAGGAAGTCAAGATTTTCCAGTTCCGTCTCAACATTTCCCCAGAGAGCATGGTGCAGGCATGCTTTGGCCAGCGGAAGCGGGGCGATCATTTGTACATTCATTCACTCAGTGAATATTTATTGAGGGCCTCCCATGGGCTAGGCACATTGTAGGCGCTGAAGACACAACTGGGAACAAGTCATAAAGAATCTCTATCTTCATGGAGTTTATATGCTAGCTGGGAAGAAAGGCCAAAACAAAACACATAAAAATCCACAAATATATATGTAGTAAAGTGGAAGTAATGATGACACCACGAAGAAAAATAAAGCAGCATAGAGGATGAAGAATGATGAGAAGCAGAATTTTTAAAGGCTCTTATGAGGATAAAACATTTGAACAGAGACCTGAATGAAGCATATGGGAGCCATGGGATGTGACAGAGGAAGAACATCACAGGCAGAGGAAAAAGCAAGTGCAAAAGGCTCCAAAAGGAATTGTCTTGGTTTGTTTTAAGGAATAGAAAAAAACGTCAGTGTGGCTGGAGCGGAGAGTGGGAGGGAGTTTTGCAGTCACAGGAGAAGTAGGGACCAGATAGTATAAGGCTTTCTAGGCCACAGGAAGGAGTTTGGATTTCAAATGTGCTGAATCCCAGGCCCTGCGGTGTGTCATTCAGGTGGGGCGGCCTCTGCGCAGCTACAGAGAGGAGACAGCCTGTACGAACAAAGAGCACAAGGACAGCTCAGTAAGTCAGCTCACCCAGCTCTGACTCCCTGCTTTAACTCAGAGCAGCAAATAAGGTCAGGGTCCAGTACCCAAGGTAGAGGAGGGTTTGTTGGTGGCAGAGGTGAAAGAGCGAGCTGTTGACTCTACGTCTCATTTGCCTTGCCCATCAAAGGGCCTGAATTATCAATGGGTGTTCAAGTATTTTAAAGCTGGAATCTCTTTGTATAAGGAAAATCTTCCTTGGAAACTTACTGTGTACCAGTCTCCTTGCCAAGCACCTTTTGTGTTTCATTCCTCAGGATTATTGTAACGGCTCCATGAGATAGGTACTCTGAATATGCCCACTTCACAGATGCAGCAACCAAAGTCCAGAGATGTGGAGCAGCATGTCAAAGGTCAACCAGTATGGCGCTGCTGTGGTTGGTGCAGGGGCAGGTGAAGCCCGCTAGGGAGGGGCCTTGGAACCCCTACTGCTCCCAAAAGCAAGCCACTAAATCACATTTTTGAGGTCCCTTCCTCTAGAACATGCTAGGAGCTTAACTCTGCTAAGACCTTGCTGTGGAATTGTGACATTTGGGGGCAATGATTCAGCCCTTGATTTTGCCTCTTGTCTTCGTCGTAAAAGCAGATCTAGAAGTTGTTGGAAGGGGGGAAATCAGATAGATAAAATCAGGGATGCGGCTGAGGCAGGCAATGTGGTAGAGAAGCAATGAAGCTGTCAGCAGCTTGTCCGGAACCTAGATGGGCACAGTCCTGCATTGCTGGCTGACGGATGGGGGCCCCCCAAGCCTGAGGCCGGTTGATGTCTTACGCACACTTGAGCTCTCCCCGCAGCTTCTGGCCTCAGCATTCTTCGGAGGCTGTCCTGACCGGCTGGGAGACCAGCTAGTTGTTTCCTGAGACAGTGGCCATACTTCTGAAAGATGGGGTAATGACAAGAGCTATCATTCCTGTGAACCATCACTGTGCAAAGCATTCTCCCACACATGATGCTATAGAATCCTCTTCAAACTCCCGGGGTGGGGGAGGGACACACATGGCAGCCGCCTCACCCTAGTGCCGGCCCTGCTGAGCATTACTACCCACAGATATTTGACGTTTGACAGATATAGAAACTGAAGCTCAGAGAGGTGAAGTAACTTCCTTCAAATCACACAGCTAACAACAGCCGAGCTGTATCTAACACCTATGCCCATTCTCCCGAGCCTCAGTTGAAATGGATTTTTTTTTTTAGACTTTTAGGCTTTTCTACTATATAAGAAACCTGATTTATTTATCACTAAGATTACTAATCAGTCTACCATTCTGTGAAAACATATCCACCAGCTGAAATATCCTGAAATGAGTTTGGGAGCCAGATGTCTGTGACAACAGAGTTCTAGTTAAAGAATTTTGCCTGGGAACTGAAGCCATGTTAAGACAAATCTTTATTTTTGTTGCTATATGTGAATGTCACCGCTAACAGGCATGGGATACAACTTAACTTCTAACGATTGGGGAAAAAAATAAAAGAAGTAAATTGTCATTCTTGGCATATTTTCATTTCTATTAGAAGTCCATTTTAGCAAAGAAATGTAGCCTTAGTCACTTGAAACTGTTCTTCCCTAGAAAACAATTGTAAATGCAATAAGCAAAAAGAATAGAAAATGCCAACAGGAAAAAAGTAATCCACCTGGGGTTAGATTCATCATGCAGACTGCTTCGGTCTTTCTCTGACATTCACATTCAATTTTAATTTAGAAATTAAAATTTCTAAATTTTAAGGTATTCAAGATTTGCAAGGAGCGGGGGGTGGGGGTGGGGAGACAGAATTAAATTGCAATCCCACCGGTTAGGAATCAACTCTTGAGAGATTTCCCCAACTCTCAAGAACTATGGAATGGCCTCTTCTGCATAAGGCATAAGGTTTGCTATGGAAAGATACAATAAGGTCACGATTGCTTTAAAATTATTCATAATAAAAACACATTTTGAGACTTGATTCTAAATGTTAAGCTTAAATTTGAGCAATTTAATTGCCCATTGAATAGAAATGAAATCCCACCGGTAGGCAGTTATTTCTTACAACCACTGTGTGTGAAATTGAAATCTTAAGATACCATTTCAAATATTCACTTTCTCTAAGGAAGTTCTCCCCAAAGAGTTGTGAAAGATAAGAAACTGACCCAAAGTCATAGGCAGTAAGTAATCTCTCTTTCTTTACATACTGGGGTCAACACAGAAGCATATTATTAAAAGGAAACTTTATGCCCAAAAGTTGGTGGTTCAGAGGTTACCTCAAGGATATATTTATTTTAACAGCTAACTTGAGCCCCATACAAAACTGTAACAAGAAAGATAGCAACTTGTCAGATTTAATAGAAGCAAGCACATGCAAACATATCATCTACTCACCAAGGTAGTGAACACTGAAATGGAAAATGCTCATATGTTTAGAGCAATAGGAAGTGAGGTGAAGGGACCCTGCTCTGTTTGCTTTAAAAAAAAAAACAACAACAACAACCAGGGAATTGTTTTTAAATTTGGGTGAGAAGTTCTTATTTTAAACCCCCATTTCACATTCAAATTGAATTTCAAGCTCTTTGTATTTATTTTTGAGTTTTTAATTTATCTTTTATTGAGGTATAATTGACATACAACATTATATTGGTTTCATTTGTACAACATGATTCAATATTTGCATATATTGGGGCGCCTGGGTGGCTCAGTTGGTTAGGCGACTGCCTTCGGCTCAGGTCATGATCCTGGAGTCCCGGGATCGAGACCCGCATTGGGCTCCCTGCTCGGCGGGGAGTCTGCTTCTCCCTCTGACCCTCCTCCCTCTCATGCTCTCTGTCTCTCACTCTCTCTCTCTCAAATAAATAAATAAAATCTTTAAAAAAAAATATTTGCATATATTGCCAAAGATCACCACAATACGTCTAGTTAATATCCATCACCACAGTTACACATTTTTTTCTTATAATGAGAACTTCTAAGATTTGCTCTCTTAACAATTTTCAAATATGCAATACAGTATTATTAATTATAGTCACCATGCTGTACATTATAACCCCAGGACTTACTTATTTTATAACTGGAAGTTTGTACCTTTTGACCACTTTTACTCATTTCGCCTACCCCTATCCCTCCCCTCAGGCAACCACCAATCTGTTCTGTATCTAAGAGCTTGTTTTTTTATTTTTTAAATTCCACATATAAGTGAGATCATATGGAATTTGTCACTCTCTGACTTATTTCACTTAGCATAATACCTTCAAGGCTCATCCATGTTGTCAAAGATGGCAACATTTCATTCCTCTTAGAGCTGGAATAATATTCCATTGTGTGTGTATGTGTGTGTATGTATACACACTCATCTTCTTTATCCACTCATCCATTGATAGGCATTTAGGTGGCTTCCATATCCTGGTTATTGTAAAGACTGCAATGAACACAGAGGTGTATATATCTTTTCAAGTTAGTGTTTTCATTTTCTTTGGATAAATACCCAGAGGAATTGCTGAAATCAAGGACTTTTTAAACTCTCCCCATGATGTCTTTTGCTATAACATAGCAGCTGCCTTTTATGTGCACTTAATATATGTTGAGTGCTTTCCATGCATTTAATCTCATATCTGTTATCACTCCCACCCCATTATAAGTTTATGTTCCACACTTTGCATGCATTTACTCATTTAATCTTCACAACTGATGCAATAGGTTCTGGCATCCCCACTTTAAGATGAGGATTTGGGGAGTTTAAATTCTTGCTGTTAGCCCAGGTTCACATAGGTGGGAAACGGTGGGTTAGAATGTTGGCAGACTGACTCCAGACCAACTACCCAGTATTGTCTCCTCATATTAAGTAACTTTCCTAGGCCATGCTAGCTGATAAAGGCCCAAGTGAAACCCAGGTAGTCCTTGGCATTTAACCACTACACTGACTGGCTATAAGTAGGCAAACTGCTCATCACGACCTACAGGCTAATTTTCATTTCTGATTATAGAGTGGTAAGTTATGTATTTATCACATAATTTAGACTTGCTTAAAATGTCTAGGTTTTTTTGTTTGTTTTTTGTTTTTGTTTTTGTTTTCTTGGTTAAAAGCAAGGGTCTGATCAGGAGACTATCTTTTTATATACTGACGGCCTTGACTTGAACCCAAAGCTGCTCTTAGGGCTTCCTTGGTCACACACATGTGCACACACACACACACACACACACTTTAATTATACCCATTAGGGATCCAACCTTGGATACAGGGAGACAAGAAAATGACAAAAGCATGCAGACAATAGTAAATTCTGGTTTATAGTTGTGAAAAGTCAGTGAGGATTGGCTCTGAACAGGGAAAATGAAGTGATCAGGAATTCACTTGTGCCTTCAACCACCAGCCTTTCACAGTAAACTCCAAGCCCTTCAACGTCATCTTTAAAATGGGAATAAAATGTCTATGACCATGATCCAGACTATTTTTATAAAACCTTGGATTCCGAAAGCCCTTGGTAATTTCCTCTTTACAAGACTTGTAACTGGCATCATGCACAAATAGACCTTTAATAATAATTTCTGAAGAAACTAATTTCTGAATACAATCATTTTCAAAGGAATTCTGATGAGACCCAAAGTTTTTCTTACAGGACTTTGCCCTTGTGGTTGGAGGGGAAACCTGAACTCCAAAATCAAGTGTGGCTTCTTTCTTTCCCAGACCCAGGGCAAAATAGTCTCCCAAAGTATTGCTGTTGATCACTGGAAAGGCACTTTCTCTGCACAGAGTATTACTGGCACTTTCCATGGGGGCACTTCCACCGCAGGAGTCCGATTTTTGAAAGATGCTGAGGGATGGAATTCGGCCGCCAGCAGATGGAGAGGAGACTCAGACCAGCGTGGTCCCTCCCAACCACCCTCCCTCCGCGATTAACTGCCCCCGCCACTGCTCAGGCATACCCAGCCCGTGCGGTCCCCGCTTGCACAGTCGCCTCTCTGGAGCACGGACGCAGTCACAAACCCGCCGCCCGCAGAGCCGCGCTGTCCGGGGCATCCCGGCGCACGGTGTCCGCGGACCTGGGACCTCGAACCCCGGACGGGCGCGAAAGCCACCCGGAGCGCTTGCATTTCTGTATGTGCTTATTTCACGTTCTTGTCTTTTTTGTCTTCCTTGAGCGGCCTGCTGGTTACTTTCAGTCTTAGTTAACCAAAAGGGAAACGCCGAAGAGGGGAAACCCTAAAGAATGATTTAGAGGCAACCCAGCCGCCTCTCCAAGGAGAGGTGTTCACTGAGCGACTCTCCCCGTCCCCGACGCTGGCCCCTTTAAGAAGCCAAGTCAGTCCTGAAGCTGCTGCTGTTTGTATTGCTAATCCCCAGGAGCCCCGTTTAAAAAGTGGGGGGGGGGGGGACCGGGCAGCTGTCTCTTTAAATGTGATTTCCTTCTATTGTATTTGAATCGTGATCAGGAAAAAGGAAATGAAACCAGAGACAGAGGGAAGCTGAGCGAAAATAGACCTTCCCGAGAGAGGAGGGAGCCTGGGGAGAGAGGCGCGGTCCCCTCCCCGCCCCCAGGCCGCCGCCCCCTCCCTGCCCTCGGCGGCGAGCTGCGCGCCGCGACCCGCGTCGAAGGTGCGAGGGACTCGGGGCGGCCGGGCGGGCGCGCACGGTCCCCGCGGGCGGCGCGGAGCCGGTGACAGCGCGCGAGCCGAGCCGGACCTGGCGGCGGCGGCGGCGGCGGCGGCGGCGGGACCGGGATGGAAGGTTAAGTCCTGAGCAGCAGCAGCTGCTGCAGCCGCCGGGGCCAGGCTGCGCGCCCCGGTCCCCGCCTCGGCCGCGGCGCGCCGGCAGCCCGGTGATTCGCTCTCTCTCTTTGGCGTTTGAAGGGAGCGCGGCGACTGTCCTTGAGCGCGGAGGGGCGAGCTCGCCGCCGGAGCGCCGGAGCAAGAGGCGGCGCAGGAGCGGCGGCGGCGGCGCCCGAGCACCCGAGGGGGTCCGAGCCCCGGCAGCCGGCCATCCCCGCGCCACAAAGGGAGCGCCCCCGCCGCCTGGCACGCCACCTCCCTCCCCAATGTCCTCGGCCATCGAGAGGAAGAGCCTGGACCCGTCTGAGTAAGTGGGGCTCCCCTGCCCCTGCCAGCCACGGTGACCACGGCCTCCCGCCCCGGGGCTGCAGGGCGGCGCGGGCGGCGGGCCAGAAGGCTCCAGGTGCGCGCCCGCGGCGTGCCCTTGGCTCCCTTTGCCTTGCGCGGGGCTCCCCCTTCCTCGCGGGTGGCCCCGGGGACACTGGGAGAGGGGCTGGGCGCCCGGCGGCAGGGAGAGGGGGTCGGCCTGGCACCTCGGCGCGCCCCTCCCGGCTCCCTGGGACGCACCTCAAAGCCACCGCGGGCCAGAAAGTTTACCCGGGAGCAGGCACAGGGGGAGCTCGGAGGCGCGCGGGTGCAGTCCCGAGAGCGTCCTGGGCTTGGTTCTGCTCCCTCCTCCCCTCTCGCTTTCTCGGTCCCCATTCTCTTTGTCCATTTGATCCTGGAAAGGGGGGCATTCCAAGTGGAGGCCTCCCGAGTCCCCCACGGCCCCCTTCGCGGTGCGCAGGTTGAGCGGCTGCCCGCAGCGCCAGGGATCGGCGGGTGAGGCGGTGCGAGCGTCCACCTAGGAGCTCTCTCTGGCCTCCAGACTTTCGAGCCCCTAAATCCGGAGTTCATTTGGGTACATGTACCCCCTCCCTTGGGGTCCACTGATAGGGGCCTGTGAACCTCAAAAGTTAGTGCACCATTTTGTGTATAGGTAAATTCTGGGGAGCGGTGGCTCATAGCATTTATCACAGTCTCTAAAGGGTTTGAGGTCAGGGAACGAGAGCTCTAATGAGCATTTGCCGCATTTCTTTTCTGAGCCTTGTACTGGTTTGGAATGTTCCCCTGTTCCCAACCTATACCTTCAACCCATTCTTTCCCGTTAACAAGGGGAGAAAGGGTTGTTTAAGATATCATTTTCCCGTCAGCGCAAATGCCCTTTTAAGATTCATTAGCTGTCTGGTATTGAGAATTTTTATTCCTTTGAAGTCCCCATCTAATCCTTTGAAGGGATTTGTTACACAGACCAAAGGAGCTGGTTAATGACTTGTCCATTTGTGCTTTTAAGAGGCATTTGTTTTCTCTTCTTTTCTTTTCTTTCCCTGCTTTAAAGGAATTGTGCTTTCCTGATTGAAGTCTCTCCCTCCCCCAGTTTCAGCCATCTATGGTATTTATATACCTGGGCTTTACCCTCAGTTACCAGCATAAACACTCAGCATGCTCTTATAAAATACAGGAAGTACCAGGATCCAGTGAGAATATAAACATCACTATTCAATCTCGAAGGCTTAGACACCAGTTCTATAAGGGGCCAGGTCTGTTCTAAGGAAAACACAGCTTCCTTCAACAAATGCTCAGGAGAAAAATAACATTCATTTTTAAAAGAATATATCTCTGCAGACACTGGGTTTAAAGGGTGGTTTGTGCACTTTTTTATAAACCTAGAATTACAACGTAGCCCTGAGTTTTCAGAGCCTGGGCAAGACCATAGTAGTGCAATAAGAGTGAATGGGATGAATTGGTGCCTAATGCCTTTTCGATCAGCAGAACTTAGTCACTAATCCTTTTATTAGAAGATAAATCTGGAGGTTTCAGTTCCCTGAAGGAGGTTTGCTCTTTTCAAAGTTTGTGCTTTTTCACTGAGATTAGAAAATTGAAACATCCTAACCTCAGAGTTCAGCAGGCACCTACTGAAGAACATTCATCCTTCACTTCCCTGTTTGCCCATAAAGACAGGCTCTACCTGGAGATGGACAAGCTAGTTGGGAAATTACTGTAGCACATCCTACTCCCTTCTTTTATTATAAATTGTTGAGAAATAATCCCAGAAATCCAGGCCGAAGTGATATTCCGGTGTAATATACAGGATAGGCTCTAGGAGAATATAAAATATTAATTTGAGGGTGAATCCCACCCATTCATTACGTTAGAACATCCATGAAAGATAATGTGATATTATCATTAATTACAGAAAGCTAGGTGGAGCCAATATCTTATCCTGTCCTTTCCTATCTCATCTGGGGCCATCACAATGGCTCTTTTTTTTTTTTTAAGATTTTTTATTTATTTATTTGAGAGAGAGAGAATGAGAGACAGAGAGCACAAGAGGGAAGAGGGCAGAGGGAGAAGCAGACCCCCCGCTGAGCAGGGAGCCCGATGTGGGACTCGATCCCGGGACTCCAGGATCATGACCTGAGCCGAAGGCAGTCGCTTAACCAACTGAGCCACCCAGGTGCCCCACAATGGCTCTTTTGCTTAACATTTCTACCGCCAAACTCCATCCTCCCAGATGCTTCATTGTGTACTTAACTCAAAGCCAACTTGGGTCACTATGATCAGCATCTCCAGTGTAGAGATAGAAGCTTGCCTGGGCATTTGCAAATGAAACATTTAGACAGAAAGCCAGCCAGAGTTCATGAACATAGGGATTTCCTCTACCACCTACCTGTGAGTAACAAGAGCAGTTCATTTTAATTCCGGGCAGTTTTGCACCAGCAAAGTGCTCATTCTCCTCTTCCACAATTGGTTGACAGCATCAGCATCAGGGCATTGAGTGTGGTCGAGTTTCCCCGAGTGTTTCTGAGAGCCCCAAGTCAGACCCTGGGCCTTGGAAAGAGAAGGCATGCATTTCTAAGTTGACACATGTGAAAATGCTGGGGGATATTTTTCAGAAGGGAGAATGGAAGTCCTTAGGTATAACCTGGGGAAACAAAGAAAAGCAAGTCAGGCTTCAGTGAATTCTTAAAACTATTTAAAGTCTTCAGTTTTTAAAAGAAACCTGACTTGGGTTTCACATTTTCTAATTCTAATCATTTTATGAAGGACACTGACCCTTGGTCTACAAAGCGTGGACTTGGCTTCAGTATTCCTAAATACTCAGGGAGGTGTGCGCTTTCTAGAAAAAGGCATCTGAAGTTGTCAGTGTGTGTGATCAACACTGATTACCTGCGTCTCATCGTCCCTAAGTATAACGGGTGCTGAGCTCTGTGGGCACAGGCCAGGTCAGGCGCAAGCTCACCTGGTAAGTCAGTGTCAGCTAGAAATAGGAGACAGATTGATACCCTCAAGGTACAGAGGAGGAAACTCCCTTTGGGAATCCCACAGGTGGAAACAGGTCCATTTTTAAAAAACATAGTGGATTAAAAAGAAAAAAAAAGCTTTGTGTTTGAGTAAGGTTCAAAAGAGCACTTACTCTTCTTACTCGTTAATTGTTACAAATCAACAGGTATTAGGTTTTTCCCATGTCCCATTTGGTGCTGGTGTAGTTTCTTTCCACTCTCTTTTATTTTCTTTTGGCAAATAAAATTATTTATTTTAAAATGTAAAACAGTAGTATTCAGATTCCAGTGAAGCAAAGTAAACCAGAGACGCTGTCTGACTTTTTAACGAAGAAACACATCCCACAGGCTCACTATTAGCAAGTGCCTGGATGGAGATTTCAGAGTCTGTTTAATTGCCTTCCACTCTCTTGAAAATATTCCATTACCCCTTCCTCATTTTCTTTCCTAAATCAGCTTTGTCCAAATCAGTTTTGCTGTTGTAAATATTTTCACATGCAGAAAGGTCTATTTAGTGTCCTTTATAAGTCTAACAATGGCCTTAATACCTGAGATTTTTCTTCAAGGATTCATTCAGTAATAAGGATGGGATATGGAATTTCTTAAAAAATTATAATAATAATTTTAAAAGTAATAATGAGAATTCCTATTATATCCTGATGGAATTTTTATTTGGGAAACAAGAAAACAACCTAAGATAATCTTTGATCACTTTCTTCTTTCTTCCTCACTTATGCTTTTTTGCAGTTGGGAAGGGCTTGGGGTAAAACAGCATGGAGATTCAACAGGGAATTTGCAGATTTTTAGCCCTCTGGGTAGTGGGCTGTCCCTGAAGCAAGCAACTCTTCTGGCCTGGAGTGCCTCCTGTGGGGTTCAGCAGGGCCCTGGAGTCTAGGCCTGGGAGGAGGAAAAAGAAGGAGAAATGGCAAGATACAGAAGGAGAGTAGGAAGGGAGAGTGGAAAAAAGGA